AATATGATACTATTACAAAACAAAAGTTACAGACAAAGACTTCTGGTTTTAAGTGTGAGTCTTCTTTCTTCCTATCTCTATTTGAACTGCATCAAATATCCTTAATGAGTTGTTTCCTTTGCATCAGAAGACGATAGCTGTTTTGATGAGGGTATATTAAGGCTTGCCATTAAGGATCCAATTAAGATATTCTTGATTTTCAATAAGCTAAACTTTTATAAGTAAATTTGGTCTACAGACTAAACCTCAGTATATATCAGATGGTATCTTTAACATAAATATATTTTGAAATAGTTTCTGGTTATTTTTTGTCTTTCTTTTCAAGTTTGAATCCCGCATTCAAACCTTCTTAATTTTTTTTAACTCTCCTCTTTAACTTTGCCATACGACCTTGTTATTATTTTGAAATCTCTCTTTTTTTTTTGCTGTTGTAATATTCAAAATTAATGTCATGTTTCTAACTTCCATCTCATTATGAGCTATATGAAAATTTCAGAGATGCATAAGAAAAACTAAAACACCAGTAAGGATGCAGTGAATATACTGGAGGCATGTGTTCACTAAGGCTAAAATTAAACTCAAAATCGCCTGAATAAATACTTCTAATTCTTTGCAACTATTCTTTTTTAAAAAACATATTTGAGGAAGATTTTTTTTATGTAGAAAGTATTTCCAAACTGACCACAATTTCATTTTATTTCTTATGTTAGCATACAAATGGGCTACTGCTTCCTATACAGTGTCATATTGAACATATGAAACAATTAAGCACACTATTTATTATTTCCTTCCGATTGCTTTAAAAGTTATTATACAAAATAACATTAAAAATTAACAAGAAGTAAGTGAATAGATAAATTCAGATTATAAATCAAAGTGGAAAAGAAGTAAAGGTGGTAGAATGTATTTACTCATAAATTCACACTAAAATTCTTCATCTTATAAGAAATGTAAATTGAAGACTTCAATAATTTTTTTCATGCAGTACTAAATCAAGTAGCATATGTCTTAGTAATATAGTATAAGAAAAGACGATTCTTTTCAGCATCTCTTTTTTCCAGTATATAAAATGCCTCTACACAAATAGTAGACCCCATGTACTGGCATTAATCAATGACTTTCTGACCATGTAACATACCAATCACTTTCCTATTTTATGATACTCGAAGTCTATAAATTGTTTATGATTAGTAGTAGTAGTAGTAGTAGTAGTAGTAGTAGTAGTAGTAGTAGGTGCTAAAATACATGAGGCAGGGTATTGTGGCTTTAAAAACAAGCAAACAAACAAACTGGGTTTTTGGAGTAAAGCAAAACTGGATTTAAATTCTGGATCTGTCGCTTTATCACTGTGTAAACTTGGCCAAATTACTTAACTTTCTGATCCTTAATTTCTTCATCTGTAGAAGGAGACTAATAATACAGACTTAGGGTTTAACAAGGATTTTTGGCATTGCTATATAAAGCCCCTTGCCAACAGATATTAGTAAGCCATGAATGGTCACTATTTTTAATAGTCACATGTTATAAGGTCACATTTTCAAAAAGCTCTGTAGCTTCTCGCATCCAATATAAATTGCTCATCTCTCAGTAGTTACTCAGGATATTCCTGAATTCAGTTTGCAGGATGCCAGCAAGTGAGCTCAGCCTGTTTAAATCAAGGGTTTCTTCTCTCCTGATGAATAGCCTGGTTCTGATTTTACTTTCTAAAAAGGTGGTGATTATATTGCTGCAAACTGCACATTCTTGTTTTGAATTGAAAGAGACAAAAGCTAGATGTGGTATGCTCTTAGAAATTTGAAGAGTCTTACTAATAATTTAGAAAATTGAAATACAAAAGACTGAAGTAGGGAAGCTTTTCACAAATGCCTGCAAGACTCAAACTCCCTTTCATTATCAATTCTACAAACTTGGAGTTAATTGCATTTCAGGGCACATTGCAAGGTACATCTTTTCAATGTGCTTTTCCTTAATTAGTACAAATGTTTGGTCCCTGAGAAAGGTGGAAGCATAAGGCTTGCTTTTGTGTTTGCTAATGTTTTCTTTTTTTTATTCACTGTTTGTACCTAGAGGCCTATGTGAATGACACATTTTTATTGAAATCAGGAGTAAATATTATGTAAATTATACTCCAAAACAGCAGCTATGGAGTCTAATTATTTTAAGGTAGCTTTAGAAGGATTCATTTTAGTTGTCTAACAAAAACAAAGCAGAAAGAGTAATGCATGTGCTAATGGAATTGAACTTCTCAATATTGGCATTTGGAGACAGTACATAATCCTCTTTGCATTCCAACAACTGGGAGAATGCATTTAACACACAGGGTGTTCAATTAATAATGTTCCTAATATTATGGAGCCATTACTGAGACAATTAATTCCATATAAATAATTTATTTTATTAAACTAAATATATATATTGAAATGTTCACATGACTATGCAAATATGTGAAACATACATACTGGTTTGCATTTCTTAAAAATATCTTTTCAAAATTTCGTTCCATGAGTATACTTAGCATTCCAGTTTTGCCAACCAGTTTGGTTTACTCTGTATAAGGATTTCTCAACCTTAGCACTAATGACGTTTAGGATGAGATCATTCTTTCGAGTCCCATCCCTGGCCTCTGCCCAGAGATGACGGTAACTGGCATTCCTCTTCCAGTTGTGACACCCAAACCTGTCTTCAGGTCCCTTGATGGTGGGGGAATGGAAATTTTTGTGTATATTGAGATATATAGTGCAACACTGAAAGAAGTCTGTCTCTGACCACATTTTTTCTTCCTTTGGCCTACCCTTTTGGCACTTATATGTCACTCTTTGTAGGACTTTTATAATTTATTATTTATTTTGCAAAGTAAATCTTCCCATCACTGCTTTGATTATAATTGCTCACACTTGTCTGTTTTTTCTTCTCTTATCCACTGACATTGCCGGCAGGATAAATTTCAAAGATATCAGTTAACACTTCATTTTCTCTCCCTAACTTCTCTCCTCAACCACAGTACTTGCCTTCCTCACACAGGTAAACCTGATCTCCTCAAATCTTTAACCTGGGTTTTGAGCCTCAGTTCAATCTTCCTCAACTCATTCCTTCTAGAAGACACTAAGCACAGTTTGTCCATAGACACCTTCATCCTATGTTTATCACTTTTATCAAAGGATGCAATTTGTTTTCAAGTTTATCTCTCTACTGGATTTCAAGCTGCTGTGTGTATGCATATGCATGTGTTAATTTCTTTATCATAAGGACTATTATAATATTAGCAATATAGAGGTGCTTTACATAGCACTTTAAAAAATGTACCTCTCAACTCTTTCCATTAAAAAATACAAATGCATCATTAATATCATACTTTAATTTTCAAGAGTCTTACCGATGTTTATCAAATATTTTACGTCAAACTAAAAGAATAAAATATTTTTATTCTCAAAAGGTGTTCGCTCCTTTTGGTTCAAAAATAAGCCACATTTGTAAATATACTTTGTAATGCTACAGTTTTTATGCAAGTAGACAAATTTTACTTACTGGTATGTATCAAAAATGTTCTAAAATTATGTGTTCTATAGAATGCTAAAGCAAAGAGGGCTTTTCCTCTGTTTGGAAAACTAAGCATATCAATTTCTACTTCCATCCCTTAATTAGAGATCAGTTTTATAATTTGGGTTTCTGAATATTTTTTCCTATACTTTGCCTACCCTGCTTATTCAAGCAGTGTCCATTCTTTGCTCCCAGTGTGACAGAGGGTTACCATCGTTAGGTACTCTTTTTGCACTCATAGATGGAGCAGGATTGTTGAATACATACATTTGTGTACGGAAAACTGTTTCTCTCCATGCATGAGGGCATTTTTTTTTAACTGAAACAATTATGCTTAGATAAAAGGAAATTGAGAGCCTTTACAAGCATTACTTAGATACCAAGGGAAATGTTTACCATATTAGCTTTTGTTAAAATAGATGAGAACTAAGGAGTCTCATAACAAGAATGGGAAAAAGCAGATGGATTTGTTTAAAATTTAAAACTTTAGACCCTTAGGATTATCCAAGGGTATACATACAGGGTAACTAACGAGTCTTATACATTTATGCAGGACTTAGATTTGGTCATAATTGAGACAAAAAAAAAAAAAAAAAACAACAACACCTTTCTGATCATGCAAGGAAAATTTTAATTATCTCTACTTTATGACATACTAACATAATAAAATATTTAATGAGCCCTTACAAACTGTGCTAAGTAATTTATATCGATCTAATTTAATTCTATTAACATATTTATGCAAAATTATTATTTCTTATCTATATATTTGGAATTTAAATCCCAAGGTTGGATGACCGTGTAAGATCACACAGCTAGTAAGTCAAGACTCCAGAATTCCCACATTGGTCTTCCCGTCTTTGAAGTTCAGTCTCTATGTCAGTACTCTAGGCAGCCTTGGACAAGTTAACATTAGTGAGAGACCAGTAGGTGTAAGCCATTCTGCTTAGTAGTTTCTGTACATTGCTTTACACTCTCTCACAATAACTGAGAGAGAGATATTAGTTTTCTTATTTTATGGATAAGGGTAGATGACATCCTAAAGGCACACAGCTACTGTGACAAATCCAGGAGGAGGCAGAAATAAACATTATTCCCAAATTCTTGATTTTTGCACAATATCTCTACTTTCTATTACTAAGGGAGCAAAGGTTAGCCAGTTTGTGATTCAATATTTAAAAAAAAAATTCTAGTCAACTAATCTATCTATTAAGTTAAATGGGGGGGAAAAAAACACCTAATCTGTGTGGTCAATAATATCCTCATGGAGATAGCCAAATATATTCTTTATTTGACAGAAACTCATCTGCTACATTACTCATTAAAGAATCAGTTAACATAATTTAATTATATTAATAAAAAAGACATGGAAATAAAATATTTCAAGTATTATTTTATACATTCTAAATGATTTTGAGGCAATCAAAATCTTTATATGTGTAGAAGTTTGAAATATACCTTACCTTACTAAGCTATTAGCACTGTCAGGATCTTGTGCCAAAACTGTGCCAACAACAGTTCCAATCTTGGCATTTTCGTAGACTTCCATGATGTAGGAAGGCATGGAAAACAGTGGTGGTTCATCTACGTCCCCGACAATGATCTTCAGCATGGTGGCATCTTTAAAAGGACCCAAGTGAGAAAAGCGAAAATCAAGATGTGTGTTTGCTCCTTCTATGTTGAGGGTGTACGACTTCTTTTTCTCATAGTTCAATGGCTGTGGGAAAAAAAAAAACAACAACAAGATTTCCAATATTATGACTGCCGTCACTGTCAAACAAGCATTTTTTCCCCTCATATTTTGAAATGAGCAAATATAAATAGATTTAATTCAATAAACTTTCGTTTAAAAACAAACTATGAAGTTTGTCTTAATAGCTAAAGCAGAAATTATGGAAACTCTTCAATTGTGATTTTTCACAGCTATAAATATGATGATAACTAGGTACAAAAAGATATTCCCCAAAGACAAACAAATATTGCTTTATGGAGACTCTCATTTTTAATCTGCTCTAGTAACTTTTTTCTAACTCCTTGTCAACCTACATTATTAATCTTAAAAATAACTGCTACTAATTTGATAAATTTTTTTAAAAAGGTAGATTTTTAAAAAAATTTACATTTAAACAATTTATCTCATATCACTGCTTTTTAGCTATCATCTTATTTTTTACCTTGCTGGTTTTAAGCTTTGTATCATATTTTAAAATCTAACAAATTTTTGTTTTTAATTCAACGAAATTCTCGAAATTTTATCAAAAATATTATACAGCCTTATGAATTTCATTTTTATTGTTTTAAATTATTTATTTTGTGTTTTGCTGATAATAGAATTTCATATATTTATTTTTTAATCTACTTTATTATATTATGGTGTAATTGACTTTGTTTTTTAAATTATTGTCTTCTTTTTGTTTGTTTATACCATTTACTTTTTAGCTTTGAGTCTTTACTAATCTTACGATCTTTTTAGTTTTTTCTTTTTTAAAAATTCTCCAATCAATATTTATTTTCTATCAATAATATATATCAAGATTCATGACTTTGACTTAGCATACAATAATGAATAAGGTCAGCATGTTAATTTATCCCAAGGAATACATGGTCTGATGTAGAATATAAAACAGTAAACAGATATTTATAGCACTGTATATTTAGTGCTATAAGACTGGGTATTATGGAAATTAATAATAAGGATATAAACCTAGGTGAAAATAAGCAGCTAGGTAATATTTTCAGGAGGAAGGACACTTTCACATAAGAACTGAATATTTGAAAAATGTTAACCATGATGCACATAATAGTCTCTGTGACTCAAAATGAGCTCAGATTTATGATTGAGGTCAATGTCAAAAGTTTCCATGGTGATGTTAATGCAGGTGATCTAGAGACCATGCTTTTAATGTGAGCCGGGTGAAGTTTCCTCTGACACTGGTGTTCCTTATTAATATCTATGAGAACAAGCAGAAGACATATTATTTCATACTTATTTCTGCCACTGATTTTGCACTAGTTTGCTTCAAATCTTGATACCCTTTTTTCTTGGCAGGATCAGAGAATGATCGTTGCTTATAGAGGAAATCAGATATTTTTCTTTACCCTAAGGGCCATGCAGATTGATTAGAAAG